GAAAGAAGAGATCAACAGCGGAAGAAGAGGAAAGCTTCACACGATGAATTCAATGAGGCTACCATGCTGTGTTTCAAGCAAATGTGGGCAGCTAACGCTTGAATTTCTGGGCCGCTAATTCAAGCAATTGTTGTAAGGTTCTCACAAGAGATTTCCAGGCAACCAATGATTGACTAAAAATATTCAAACTACGACATGAAATTTCCCAAAGAGTCTTGTGTAGTGAATCTATTAAAGTGTCTGAAGAGTTTGTTCAAGACTTCATCGAAAAATGTTTTCAACCTCATTAAGGGCTTCAATAATGACGATATTTTTTTACGTCGACAAGTTCGGTCTCTCTTTCCATTGAATGGAACAATGGTATAATACGGATAAAAAAGCCAGGACTTGACAAGTCCCGTGGGATGGTTTGTGGGACTAACGCTAGTTCAAAACAGTTGCACAACAGTGAAAAATGCATCTATGGACTCACCATATTATCCACATTAACACAAAGATATATCCCATAAATCGTCTCCCAGAGAGAATAAAGAAAGCGGTGAGCCATACGTAAACAATTGTATTCTATTACTTCTTCTTACGCGGACATCTGCACGCGTAGACTGATACAAAGCTGCAAAAAAACTTTTAATGCAACCCACTTGAAGGTAGTATACACGAGCAAACCGCGAATTGTTCCGATATTCAAAGACCATCTCCAATCGATGGTAATTTACCTGTTCACCTATTCTTGTGGGTATAGGTACATTGGACGTACAACCAAGCACTCAGGTCAGAGAATCAAGGGACATCTCGCGAGTTGGCTCAGCAATCACAAAGATAGGACATCTTACAGCTCAGTAACAGACCACCTTCTCAACACCGGTCATCGCATAAACAGACAAATGGAGTTCAAGATCATCTACAAAGTACCAACAACCTACGGCTGTGCAGTGAGAGCGAGGCTGCTTGCTACCACGGAGGCGGTGTACATACGGTTAACGAAACCTGATCTATGCGTGCAAAAGAAAATGATGCAGTCGTTGAAACTGCCATAGTCAGCTACCGGATGTGGAGAATGCGAATAAAGCCAGAAATATCACGAGGCTTCAATCACAGGATCAGCCACTTGACGCTTTGATCACTTTAAATTAGCAATCAATTATTTCCTTATCTTTTTTACTAACGAATGAAATCTAACAGTGTACCTACGTTTAGTACTATATGCGCCTGAAGAAGTGATCGAAAACAATTGTTTGCGTATACCTCACCGCTTTCTTTGTTCTCTCTATAGGATATATCCGTCTACCCCGATATCGTGGGGTTGGTGAGCACAATGTTTGCCTGCGCCACGTCGTCGCTCAATGAATCGAAATCAGTTCAAATAATGTATGTGGTGTAAAGCATCATCAAGTAGTTGTAAGATACTTGGAACCGATCGAGTAGTCATGAGTTCAGAGACAACATTTGGAGACGGGTCCTTATAGAGTAGTTGTTGATCAAACCGTGGCATCAGTAATGAACAAGAGTAAAACGGAGTTTGGTAACTATTTAAGAACCGTGAAAGACGATTTAGGGGCAGGCAAGTCACATCATCATCATCACCAACAGCAGTACATCAGCCATTTGAACTGATGCTTCGCTGCCATACAACCATGAGGAACTATAAAATAAAGAATAATAAGAGGGAGCGAAGAGGGGCTTACCTGAATACCTTAATGCCCTAAGCAAACATTCAGGGTCAAGGCGCCTACACCTTGAGTAGACAACATACCGTCACAAACAGCTGGCTATCATGCAAAGATAAGGCGGCATCGGCGAGACAGCTTCCTTGCGGCTTTCACTCTCCCACGTCATAATCAGCCATTACCCCGCAGATAACTCAGCACCAAACACACTTTAAACAGACAATCCGATTAGGAGACGGCAGCAGACGCTTCGCAAACAACGATGATCAAAGACTTGAAGGCGCCTCAGATCTTCAGACCGAAGGGGCCAAGTCTTGCTATCATAGAGCAGAACGGCCCTCACTGTGGCCTTGTATACACGGCCTTTCAGACGGAGGGTAACTCTCTTCTGTCGCCAAAGATGACGCAGGTTCAAGAAGGCAGCTCTGGCCTTTGCAATGCGTGAGCTCACGTCAATTTCTATGCGCCCATCATTGCCGATGCAGCTGCCAAGATAAGTGAATTGATCAACCACCTCGAGTTCCTCATTAGCAAGCGTCAAGGGGTCATCAAGTGGCTGGTGGTCCTGCAGCAACACTTTGCACTTTGAAGGTGCGAAGTGCATACCAAATAATGGGACCACTCTGGACAGGCTATTCAGGGTAGATTGTGTCGCCGCAACATCGTCGAAAAGCAAGACGATATCGTCCGCATAATCAAGATCAACTAATCTTTCACCAGGCAACACTTCAACGCCTACATCGTGCGATTCCGCAAGGAAACACTCCATGATAGAATCCACGACGAAATTGAACAAAAACGGGGAAATCGGACAACCCTGACGAACGCCACTTGTAGTCGAAAAGCTATCCGATAGGCCACCGTAGACGCTGACGCGGCCTGTTGTGTTCGAGTAAAGAGCACGAAAGATGTTCACATATTTCGTGGGAACACCTTTTCGCGCAAGTAATTCGAACAGAATCGATTGATCGACTGAATCAAACGCACTCTTGCAATCAAGGAACACAGCTATTGTCGGTCTGCGGTATGCGTGGCGCTGCTCTAGCACCTGCCGCAAAGTAAATATATGGTCTATACAGCCACGTCCTGGGCGAAAACCGGTCTGCTCTTCCCTAATCCAAGATTCCCGTTCCGCAGTGAGGCGACGAACGAGAATCGAGGCCAGTAATTTTGTCACAACTGGCGTTAGGCTAATACCCCTGTGGTTAGAACAGTCTGTGCGACTGCCCTTTTTGTATATTGCCACTATAATCGATCCGCTCCAATTAGCCGGGACACTCTTCGCTCCAGAGAGGCTCGAAAAGGGAGGACAGTGCCCTGCAGAGGGCAGGCAAGTGGTACAGTCTATACCCAAAATCGACTTTACCTCCGAGGGTTTATAGTTTGCCAAAAGTTCACAGCCCATAGTCAACGGTATAGGCTCCCCGACCCATGAACTTGCGAGATATTTAGCAAGGCTATTGCAGCTTCTAACAAGGGGAACGAGTACATTCGTGAAAAATGCTTATGATTTCACTTAAAAATAGGAAGTCTTAAAATTGAGTCAGATGAGTTGATGGTCAGCTTCGATGTCACATCACTTTTCACAAATGTACCCAAAGAAGAGGCGCTAGGAATAGCGAGACGTCGTCTAAATGAAGACGTCACTCTGAATGATCGGACGAAACTAACAGTTAGCTAGATAATCGAGAGTATGACAGTCGAAGCTTTACAGTCAGGAACAAGGTCTCGCCATGGGATCGCCAATATCCCCTGTACTGGCGAACCTGTATATGTAAGACTTCGAGAACCGGGCGTTAACGAACCCCATTAACTCACCAAAAGTTTGGTGGCGTTATGCAGACAACACGTTTGTACTTGTCAAACGGGATAAGAAGGACGAGTTGCTTGATCACTTAAACTCCATTGATGAGAGAATACAGTTTACTATTGAGTTGGAATCTTGTAGGGGCACAATACCATTTCTTGACTGTCTGGTTCACAGGAATGGGGGAAATTTAAAGACGACAATATATCGCAAGCCAACGGATACTGACGGCGTACTCCGCTACACTTCGGGTCATCCGAAACAGGTTTACGCTGGGGTAGCGTCAGCGCTGTTCTACAGGACACAAATCTTGTGCACGATGGAGGAGGACAAAAAGGCTGCGCGGAAGGTGGCAATAAGCAAACTATTAGAAAGTGGTTACCCACGGCGGCTAGTCAAACGCCAATTGCATGAAGTGCTACACCGGCAGTCAAGACCTCCAGTCGAGTGGATAGGGACTGTCGGAATTCCGTACAAGGAAGGCACTTCGGAGGCAATTCGGAGGGTACTAAACAAGGAAAATATAAGCGTGATCTTTCAGCGAGGTCGAACCTTAGGTTCGGCGCTGGTACACCTGAAGGACCCCCTTCCCAAGGATAGGACGACTAACTGTGTTTATAAAATTATATGTAAGGACTGTACACATGTGTACATAGGCCAAACCGCGAGAGAATTACGCACACGAATTTCGGAGCATAGGAGGCGCATTTCAAGACTACCAGGCAATAGTAAGAGACTCGGCCGTAGCTGTGCATGCATTAGACACGGGTCACCAGATAGACCTCGAAAACGTAGAGGTCATTAGAAGGGATATACGATCAACCACTCAGCGGTTGATTGCCGAGGCGGTGAAAATTGCCAAATCTGACGACTGCGTGGATAGAATGGAGGGGGTAAAACTCCCTAATGCGTGGCGAGCGATCTTAAGCCGGCCAGCCTGACAAGCATCGGTGCGTGGATCAGGTTGGAAGGTGCAAGCCGACTCCCATTGTCAACACTATGGGCTTATCCGTCATTGTCCTGACGCACAAAGGAAGACCTGGACTATTCCCACTGTGATCGTACCACCTGAGGTGACATCACCAACTGTTAGTGTAATGACATCATGACTCAAGTCTCGGGTAACGCGGTTATCGCCCCCGTTCGCTATAAAATCCCACACCAATTGCACACTGATTCACCTGGTCTGACGAAGCTCTCGTGTCGAGAGCGAGACGTTACCAACTATTCAGTAGGTGAACAACCAACCTGGGTTATCAGTGCTTCAATTTATTTCAGATGCACGCCTATAACTTTTTCTCACATGTACAAGCACTTCGGATTTTTTGCGTCCATTGTGTTAGCTGTCGCCTCACCAATCACTTCATTAGATTGCTTATCGACCCAGCCTACGAGCCTTCTCAAGATTGCGTGTCTCTGGACACCTGATAATCTTATTTCAAAGTCAAGTTATAGTGTAGCTGATCTGCCCTTGTTTGCATTATTACGTCATCTCCACTTTCACTTTCTAATGTTTCATTGATTAGCGGAAGCTAAGCGGTCTCGTCTTCATCAGTCAATCAAGGTTCCTCTGCCCGACATCAAAGGGACAACAGACGCCCTCCTGCACGTACCATTGGGGGATCTTTCTCGCGAGTTTTCGCTGATACGTGATAAGCGCCATCCTCGACACCAACGCGAGAGTAAACGACTTGAAGAAGCATGTCGTTCCGGTGACTCAGATGCTGCATTGTCAGTGAGTTCTTAGCGTCTTCTCTCTTCGTCGTTTAATAACTGAAATTGTTACCGTCTGTTTTGAAGACTAATCGGTTCGTTTGATCTGTTCACCTTCTGCCCATTGACAACTATTGGGCATCTTTCTTTGTGGATGAAATCCCGCTGTCATATCAACCAATGGTCGTTAGCACTGACAGGTCTGTCAGTGCACGGTTTTTGATTCGACGGCAATGATAAGCGTGTTACTATATACTGGTCTGCAATTGATGGTTGGTATACTGCTCCAATGTTATCAAGTTTTATCTTACTTGATGATAGGATGAGATAATTTTTCTATGGCGTGGGTATAGCGCTTCGGCTCAATCAGTGTTCCTCTGTGGATCAGAGACATGATAATTTTGTACTGAAGCCATGAAGATGCTTCCTGTACCCAACTGCTTACATCATGGATCGTTCGTTTGCTGTATCGTACTCATCTGCTTTTGTTTCCGCTACCCACACACTTATCTGTTCGTTTGTTACCAATCACGGTTATCCGTTGCCAGCTAATTTCTGTTTCCATGATTCTACTCTCGATTGTTTCGTCGACGCCCACAGACTTCTCCCAGTGATCTTCCTTCTGATTCGATCCTCGTCCCGTCCGGCATGCTTCGATGTACACACGCTGAAACAGATCAGGCAGCAAGCTCTTCTTGCGCGCACTTTGGAGTCCCTTGCCATCGACGTTCATTGTCTTTCTGAAATCCTCTTGCAAAAATCCAGTACTGTGATTGAGGTGAGATCTCCCACCGACCACGCAGCCACATTTCACATACGTCTGTTTGGTGACACAGACGCAGTTGTGGCTGGCATTGGTGTAACACTAGCCAGCAAAGCCGAAACCAAACTGATGCACTGGTTCTAGATTACTAGCTAACTATGTGCAGTTCGGCTCCTGGGATCATGCAAAGTCAACAAACGTAATGAACAACATGCGACTTTTTTGTTATCTCAGCGTACGCTCCAAGTAACTACAGTTGAGACTCAGGCACGGACGATTTTTGTCATGAACTTCACCAGCTTGCAAATCCAATATTATTGTTCTTGCTGAGGATCTCATTGCACAGGTCGGTCGCCTCTTACCATGCGAAAGTCGCCTCGGTGGTCACCATGCACTGGATGAGAGCTACTCAGATAATGCAGAGAGACTTCTCACACTGTGTGTAGGTAATCGTCTGTTTCTCTCAAGCACTAGCTTCAGGCATTTGAGGAGACATTCCACTAGTTGGCTCCCCCCCTTCTGCGACTCAATCATGGTCTCATATTGCAGTCAGTTTCAGATGGCGGGATAGTGTAAAGGATTACAGATCAATCTAGTCCACATTTATTGACTCAGATCATGCTCTTGTCTGTGGGAACATTGCATGAATTTCGGAGGGTCTGCGAAAACGAAACACCGTAACTTAGATACAAGTAAGCTATCTACTCTCTGGGTTCAGCATAGGTATCCTTCTTCCTTGGCCGAGGCACTCAGCTGCGACCCACCGCACGACATTTATAAACACTGGACACTCATGCAGATGACCGTAATTTCTTCTGGGCAGTTAGTCTGTGGTCTTACTCAGCACCATATGAAGGCCTTGCTCTCCATTTGCTCCCAAGATCTATTTGACCCACACAGGAATATTTCAGCGGAGTCTCCATAACGAAGCCTAGTGCTCTCATTGTGCTTCGGAAATGGAGGCTGCTGCCCACTCTGGCAATACTCGTAACCTCTTCCAGCTCAATCGGTCCACTGGTCACAGGAAACCTGGTGTCAGTGCGACGAAACGGATATATAGATAAGCTTTGTTCTCGAATAAGCGAGACACGCCTACAGACATGATCATATAGGTGGTAATATATACAGTATTTCATTCAAAAGTTAAACAGGAATTTATTTGCTGGGCAACGATTGACATGAAACGACATATGTGACCGGAATAAAACAGAAAATAGTCTACCATTTGCTTTTTTACGGTTATATGTGGCAAAATTTATTTTATATAGTCCGATGTATGAAAATTGAAGTCAGTAGACCTGTAAGAGGACGACCGGAAAAGCCCAGTAAATATATGCAACGACGCAGTGCTTCGAATTAGCATGTTTTGAATGATATCACAGATTGAGAGAGAGTTTGCTTGAAAAATGCAAGTTGTGTGTGCTGTCCATCCTCGGCATCTTCAACAGCAGTACATCAGCCATTTGAACTGATGCTTCGCTGCCGTACAACCATGATGACTTACGGACCGAAGAAATGTAAAATACGGAGAAGAGGAACCTAGCGTAAAAAGCTAGTACCCTAAACAAACCTTCAGACTCAAGGTGTTGTAATCCGGTACTAATAGAATGGGCATATTTCGAGAATCCATGTATTTGACCAATTGATGCTGCAGGCTTGAAGTTGTTCAACTGTACTGCGTCAGCCCATGATGCCGAATGCCCACGCTACTCTGGCTATAACGGAGTGTTCAAAACAGTGATCAATTGCAGTTCCCCAATTATCATTGCGGTTGGGTTAGTTAGGATTGGTCTAACCCTAACACCTTCCCCGCAAAGAAAAGCTTTAATAGCATGACATACTTGAGGGTCTTTTGACACTTTGATCTTTGCAGCTGCAAGGGAAGTGGGACTGTTACTCTCCCTTATTTGGAGCTCGGAACATTTGCTGTAAGTCATGGTTGATTGCTGCATCAGCCGAAGGCTCTTCTGTATTTTGGCACCTGCCACTTGGAGGGGCAAATGTCGAATGACTGTCCCGATCATTCGTCATTGCCTGCGAACTGCCGGCTGCAAATATAATTGTCGAGTGACGGTCTCGATCATGAATAGGTACCGAAACTCCACTTGGCTGGATAGATAAGTGTCTGGTAAAATCTAGATAACGTGTAACCGAGCGGCTCCAAATTGCTCATACCCTTGTGATAATATCCCAATCCAAGTGACGGTAAAAACGTCGACTTGATCCATCCCATCTCCGTCGCCAAATTTTTTAACCCGATACTACTAGAATGGACATATCTCGAGAATCCATGTATTTGACCGATTTGGGCTACAGACCTGAGTTTGGACAACTGCACTGCGTCGGCCCATGATGCCAAATGCCTCCGCTGCTCTGGCCATGATGGAGTGTTCAAAACCATGATCAATAATGGTTGATCGATTATCATTGCGGTTCGGTTAGTTAGGATTGGTCTAACTCTAACACAAGGTGCCCACACCTTGTCGACAATGTACCATCACAGACAGCTGGCTATGTTGCAAAGATAAGGCGACATCAGTGTGATAGCTCCTTTGTAGCTTTAACTGCCCAGCGTCATAACCAGCCAACAACCAGCAGATAGCTCAGCACTAGACACGCTTTAAACAGGCAGTCCGGCTAGGAGACGGCGGCAGACGCGCCACTGGTGTCTACTGCAACACATGTCCTGTAAAGCCTCAAGTCAAGCACAAGCGGGTCACGTGGACTCCAGCCTGGAAGACGAGACGGACCGACGGCACCAAGTTTGCTCGTCAGTGACTTCATTTCTCGCTGCCAAGTCACCTTTTGTCAACCTCGAGCCTTGCGCCACCCTACATCTGGCTGACTAAACAAGGCCCACCTCGGTACGTGGGGACCGGGCCTACGTAGTACATGCCCAAACCAACTTATTCAGTGCTATATGTTGTTCTCCGGAACGTGCCTGCTTATCACTGTCTGGTACGCGCTTACGCACATAATTGTTGCGAACATTCTGGTGCCATCGGACATCAGCAATGGTTTGCTTGCAGCGAGGATCAAAGACTTAAAGGCACCTCAGACCGAAGGGACCAAGTCAGTCCCATAGGACGGCCCTCATTGTAGCCTTGTAACCACAGCCTTTTAGACGGAAGCAAACTCCCTTCTGACGTCACTGACGCCGCAGATTCAAAAACACAGTTCTAGCTTTCGCAGTACATGAACTGCCTTCAGTTTTTATGCGCCCATCGTTGCTGATGCATCTGCCAAGGTAAGTGAAGTGACCAACTACCTCGAGTTCCTCGCCATCAAGTGTCAATGAGTCATCAAGCGGCTGGTGGTCCTGTAACAGCACTGCACTCTGAATGTGCGAATCGCCTGACACATGATGAGATCCATCTAGTGAGGTTAATCAGGGTTGATTTCGTAGGCACATCTTTAAAATGCAGGAAAATATCCTCCGCATAACCAAGACCAACTAGCTTTTCAGCAGGCTGCTTCACAACACCCGCATCATAAGGCTGCGTGATGCAGTCCGCGACGAAATTGTGCAAGAGTGTGGAAGTTGGACGACCCTGATGAATGCCACTTGTTATCGGAAAGGCATCCAACAAATCATTTTCGATCCTGACGCGGCCTGTGGTGTTCAAGTACAAGGGACGTAAAATTTCACATATTTCATGGGAACCCCTTTCCGCATAAATATTTTGAACAGAATGCATCGCTCAACTGATTCGAACGCACTACTAAAGTCCAAGAACACAGCTATTGTCGGTCTGCAGTACGTGTGGCACTGCTCTATCACCTGACGCAGAATGAGTATGGGGTCTGTACAGCCCCGTCTTGGGCGGAAGTCTGCTTGCTCTTCCCTAATCCGGGATTCCCGTTCTGCAGTGAGGTGACGAACAAGAATTGAGGTTGGTGCTTTGGTCATAACTGGCGTTAGGCTAATACCCCGGTGGTTAGCACAGTCGGTGTGACTGCCCTTCTTTTATATTGCCACTATACTAGTTTCAGTCCAGTTAGCCGGGATGGCTCCTGCCTTCCAGACATGTTCGAGCAGGGTGGTCAGTGATTTGGAGAGGACATCATCTCTATGCTTAGATAGTGCAAGTGCGAGATAATCCGGACCAGCAGCACGAAAACGATTGAGGGCTGTGATCGCGTTTCGGACCACAGCCTCCGACAGAGTCTCTAAACTAACGAGCCATGGTTTAGCTTTCAGCACCTGAGTAGGAAGAGGTTCAGTAACCGGGAGACAACTGAACTACTCTCGAAAGTGCTCCTTCCAACAAGCCAAACGGCACTTCTTATTGTGAGTCAGTGCATCAGCGTTGTCTCTGTCTCTCTGACGCTTGGTTTTCTGGAATCAGTGGTGCGGATCATTTGGAAGAGCTTGTGATAATTGCCTACTGCTCCTGCTTCCTCCGTTTTCTAAGCCCTACTAGTCCGCCAGGCCTTCTTGTCAGCTCGCTTTATTTCGCGTCTACTAATTCGCATAGATACATTATGCTCATAGTCAGCCGGGAGTTTTCTTTTAAATTCTAACACGTTCACCGAACTCTCGGATATCCAGTGACTGATGCGGTGGCGATTGATGGTGCCGCAAGCGGATGCTCCTGCCAAGTGCATGGTGGCCAAGATCCTATTCCATTGAAGCTCAGTGTCATTGTGACAAGAAAGCGAAGTTCGTTAAGCATGACATCCTGGGAAATCTGCTAGACTGTGGGCTGGGATAAGTTCTCAGTTGCCAATCGAGGAAGACGCTTGGTACGCCTGCCGGTAAAGGCCATGAGAAAACGACAACATACGAAGGCATGATCACGGTCGACGCAGATACTCCAAAACGCGCGGCATTCATGAATGGAACTGCGCCACCTGTAACTTATGATAATGTGATCTATTTGAGTACATTGATGACCATCAACAGGAGGACGTCAAGTGGCACTTTGGCGCCAACTGTTCCTAAACGCGGTACTACTAAGAAACAGCCGGTGTTCCGCATACGGTCGCAAAAGATGCTTGTTGTTGTCCGTCCGGTCCGAGTTAACTTCATACTTACCACCTGGCAGAGCTTCTGAATAGCTCAGAACACCTACTTGTGCGTTCGGATTCCCTGCAACAACTATAAAATCTGTACTAATAACAATGTAGTGGCGTGTTCAGCTCGTGGTAAAATGTGTCCTTGGCAACTGCAGTCGGTAGTTGCATAAGCGGAAATCACAAACCAACAGCGTCTGGTGCTACTTCGTGAATCAACCTAAGTTGATGTCATCAAACGGGCTGCACACAAACGGCTGTTACGGGTTTCAAATCAAACAAGGATGACTCAGCTTTGGAGCTGAGTACAATGGCCGACCAGTGCGTAAAGGGTGTGCGACGGGGCCTTTAAATTCGGCCGTTGCTGTTGTAATTGGAATATTGTTCTACGCTACGCATTGCGGATATTATTTCCCCACATGTTTCTACAGCTTATCTTCCATTTGTTTAAGTGTACCCATTTAAGCTCAGCAATGGTGACATACTCTGTGGACTGTTTGATTTCGCTCCGTGAAGCTGTACGCAATTCACATCTAATCATATATGGCCACAAAATCAGCAATACTTACAAAAGAAATGTCAATAAAAATTTTAGGGTAATGAATAAGCACCGTGCTGGTCGACAAGCTGGACTCAGACGCTGCCTTACCAAGATTGCACAAATTCCGCTTATCCTAGCCAGTAATGTCCGATCGCTTCCCGGAAAAACTGATGATCTTGGCAACCTTTTACAACAAACAGAATTTTCGAACTCAAATATAGTGATGTTACATGAATGTTGGCTATATCTCAACATTGAAGATGGAGTCGTGAAACTCGATGGTTATCGACACATCAGATCCGACCGCCCAGGTAAGCTTCACCACCGCGAGGGCGGTCTGATCACATACATTAGCAAGAATGGTGTACATCGGTTTCACAGCTGTCCACCTCCTCAACGGCTTCACCAAATTATCACCTATTTGTATGTAAACCAAAGTTTCTTAGTGGCTTTCTATCTGTTGTAGCTGGAAACGTATATATAACGCCTAACACAGCACTATCAGAGATAAACATGTTTGCAGATCACCTTGCCTCGGAATTACAACCGAAGTTAGCATGTTCCCTCTTCATTTTTGCTGGTGACTTCAATAAAAGTGACATAGACATCATTAAAGTGCTGAGTCTAACCGACTTGGTAGAATTCCTCACCAGATTTAGCGCACATTTAAATGTAATTTTTTTCTAATAAACATAACCTGTTTTCCACACAAAGGCGCGCTCCGCTTGACTATCCGGACCATTGCATCGTGAAGCTATGCCCATAGATTTACTGTAAGACCAATTAAGTTGCGATGTCAAGAATGCTATTCAGAACTGTTAGGCAGCGAAACTGTTCAGTAGAAAACATTATAAAGCTCAAATCAGCGCTCAGTTCAACCGACTTCTCAATCTTCGCCAATGAGAATCTGTCAGATCAATTCGAATACCTCACCGACTATAACAATTTCTGTTTCACTTTATTGTCCAATTGAGACTATCATCTTCGGATTTCTCGATTTTCACTCCCACTACTCAAGCAACTGCGCAAGAAAAAGAATAGGCTTACAAAAACAAACTAACAGCGCGTGTTAAATGTCTATCTGTGGATATAAAAGCCGAGATAAGAAGGTTAACTAGTCCGTACATTGAAGCCATTTTAGATAACTGCAGTTGCCGTGACCTGTGGCGACTCTTAAAGCAGCTCACCGGAAAAAATTCTATTTGCCCACTATGTACTGTGGATGTGAACAAATTCAAAGCAGCTTTTAGCTCATCATCAGTAAACACTTTCTCCCTACCTTCTTTCCCCATCAATGACCCTCCTACCTTATTTGACCATATCAGTGTTTACAAGGAACTCACAAGACTAAAGCCAAACAAAGCTAGTGGCCCCGATTCCTTGTCCACAATCGCTTTGAAAGGGTGTGCTAATGTATTACAGTCACCTCTGACAAAGATTTTCAACTGATGTTTAACGAGTGGCACTATCCCTGACATCTGGAAAGAAACCAGAATGTCACCTGTGCTTAAGAAGGGATCACAAAAATATCGGCCAATAGTGTGTACCTCGTGATGCTGAAGCTGCTTGAAAAACTACTGGTTCCCCGAATCCTTACAAGCATTCGTAAGATTGACATTACACAATTTGCATCCAAATCAGGGCACTCTGCTCTGGATGCCGTTTCGTATCTTGTGCATTCCATTGCACCTGCTTTGAATAAAAAAATACAAGATTGTGCGGCCCCTGTTCCTTAATTATACTAATATCTTTGGGAGCATTTACATTGTACGAAAACGGCGTTCCCCCATACGAATGCAATGTAATACGTGACTATTTTACGAATCGCACATACTTCACTTAGTTATGCAGCAGTAGATCTTTCCCAATCCCAGCCAATTGTGTGGTCTTACAAGGATCTATTTTATCCCCCTTTCTGTTTTCCTTCTATCACGGGGACCCTTGATAATTTGTGCGTAGGCCAATGCAGGATGTGGTTGACAATTGTGGAAATATTTGTGGTTGTATGTGGGCTGAGATACTGCCAGCGCGCCCAGACCTAGACAGAAGAACGATTAGGGTCCTTGCCCAAAGACTTTTGCTCAAAAGCCTCCGCAAGGTAGCAGGGAGGTGGCAACGGTTCTGTTTTACTGAAATGGACGCCATCCCATTTCCAACCCCGAATCTGGAGGATCAAGAAACTGAATTCGCCTGACCTCTGTCCATTGACCAACCTGGTAGGACTAGTTCTCAAGCTGCCCCGGGGACTCATCCAGTATAGCTCATTGGGTCGATGATGTACCTAAATCGTCACACCACAGTAACGTCCAGTCTCGTTGTAACTATGTGTGCTGTCCTTTCGCGCTTAAGCCGAGTTCCTGATAATTGCAGTCGTCGGGTCACCCATTTTCGATGGCTGCTGCGTGACTCACGGAAATGATGAACAAGTAGTGTTAATTCCTTTCCCACCGGCGAGTTAGATTATGCATTTACATTAAAGAACGCCAGACGATTTTAACCCAAGAATAGATGAAATTTTGGAAACCAAACAATGTAAATAATAAAAATCTTCTTGAAGGTATGATTCACTGGTGAGGTGGCATAGATTTGTGCCAAGTTATCACCGGGTAATTGTGGGTAATTAACAAGGTCCATAGTAAGTTCTGTCTGAGCGATAATCCGGATATTGCGAATGTGTGATTGGCAGATTTGAGGTAATTATCACTCATCCGCGTAATATTTTTCCGAAAGTAGGTTGGGTCGAACCCAATTGTTCTGACCCCAGGTAGAATGATTCCGAAATTGTAGGGGTTCCTTTAAGGTCAGTAGAATTAGCAAATCAATATCCCATCGAGCATCAACTGAATGTTCTGTGCACTTTGTAAACTTGAGAGCTCCGTTTTTTCTAATCAACCACCATTAGACCGTCTCCGTGTCTGACAACAGTCAGATGAGTTCAATCGACCTTTCTTTGCAGATCATACACTACTGTACACGGCAGACCCCTACATATATATATATATATATACACACATATACATATATATATATATATATATGGTTGGCGGCATCCGGTTTCGGATTTGCCTGTCACTGTGGCAAGCCCCAGGACGCCTGCGCCTACAGAGGGACCATGGATGGCTTGCGCTGCACCACCCACAGCTCCAACCACATACCCCATATCCAGTGTAAACCCGAAGGAATAAGACCGGGAGGCATGTGGATGGGAGCCACGTTTCATCAACGGAGCCGGCCCACACTCCTTCACAGGCAAACACAAGCACGCTGTAGTTGGGGAATCAAGCGCACACAAGGCGGTGGCTGGACCGTAGTCCGCTCCACACTCAGTGCATGGAACCGCTCTTTGAGCCTAGCACGGCCACAAGGACCGTGCACCCCGTCCCCTCCAGCAACGACCAACTGTCTCCTGGAGCCAGTATGAACGATGTAGTGGGTAATAGACAGGTAGGCACCTTGTCAACATGCACATCAAGCGCAGCCACACCGGGAATATCAAGCAACAGCCATTCAATTTAAACGACAAGCTGAAATAAAATAAATCCAATAATGCATACAGATACGATGGCATAACTCTTCCCTAAACTACCGTATGAAGTATGTTGGTTAGCAACGAATCCACGATAAGTAAGAAATGTCCACAAGTTACTTAAAAATGCTTCAAACACAACAAAATTACCGAAGATAAGCACAATTAGCGTAAGCAACGTGGTCAGTTAATAGAACATTATTCAGGTAGGCAGAACAAACCAAATAAAGTGGAATGGAATTTATCCAGGTTAAAAGGACCTAGTTCAAGTGTAAGTTGGTTTAGCCCAACTGCGGTGAAGAAGCATCAAGAATGCAACATCAGCCTCAGCCACATACATACATACATGGTTGGCGGCATCCGGTTTCGGATTTGCCTGTCACTGTGGCCAGCCACAGGACGCCTGCGCCTACAGAGGGACCATGGATGGCTTGCGCTGCACCACCCACAGCTCCAACCACATACCCCATATCCAGTGTAAACCCGAAGGAATAAGACCGGGAGGCATGTGGATGGGAGCCACGTTTCATCAACGGAGCCGGCCCACACTCCTTCACAGGCAAACACAAGCACGCTGTAGTTGGGGAATCAAGCGCACACAAGGCGGTGGCTGGACCGTAGTCCGCTCCACACTGAGTGCATGGAACCGCTCTTTGAGCCTAGCACGGCCACAAGGACCGCGCACCCCGTCCCCTCCAGCAACGACCAACTGTCTCCTGGAGCCAGTATGAACGATGTAGTGGGTAATAGACAGGTAGGCACCTTGTCAACATGCACATCAAGCGCAGCCACACCGGGAATATCAAGCAACAGCCATTCACTTTAAACGACAAGCTGAAATAAAATAAATCCAATAATGCATACAGATACGGTGGCATAACTCTTCCCTAAATTACCATATGAAGTAAGTTGGTTAGCAACGAATCCACGATAAGTAAGAAATGTCCACAAGTTACTTAAAAATGCTACAAACACAACAAAATTACCGAAGATAAGCGCAATTAGCGTAAGCAACGTGGTCAGTTAATAGAACATTATTCAGGTAGGCAGAACAAACCAAATAAAGTGGAATGAAATTTATCCAGGTTAAAAGGACCTAGTTCAAGTGTAAGTTGGTTTAGCCCAACTGCGGTGAAGAAGCATCAAGAATGCAACATCAGCCTCAGCATGGGGCACATATATATATATATATATATATATATATATACATATATATATGGTTGGCGGCATCCGGTTTCGGATTTGCCTGTCACTGGCAAGCCACAGGACGCCTGCGCCTACAGAGGGACCATGGATGACTTGCGCTGCACCACCCACAGCTCCAATCACTTACCTCATATCTAGTGTAAACCCGAAGGAATAAGACTGGGAAGCATGTGGATGGGAACCACGTTTCATCAAAGGAGCCGGCCCACACTCCTTCACAGGCAAACACAAGCACACTGTATTTGGGAATCAAGCGCACACAAGGCGGTGGCTGGACCGTAGTCCGCTCCACACTGACTGCATGGAACCACTCTTTGATCCTAATACGGCCATATATATATATATATATATATATATATATATATATATATATATATATATATATATATATATATATATATATATAGGTATGGGTATAGACGGTTCGCTGATGGCCAACCTACGGAGGCACTTGGATCGATGTGCCGAAGATTTTCATTCCCAGTTCAGTTGGCCCTCGCGGTCCACTTTTATTCCCTGCGAACCCAACTGCCCGCCCTGTGTCCCCACGCCTGATCTACCCAGTGAAACGGAAGTTTGTCTTGCGATTTGACAGTTGTAAAGATCAAGTCCGGCGGCTCAAACGAACTTCCTCCGGAGCTGTTCAATTCCGACGGCACATTTATCATCAGCCGGCTAGCCTCATTGTTCTCCAAAATTTGAATGAGAGAAAAGGTGCCTTCTTCCTGGGGCGCATCAGTAGTTGTGCTGATTGTTAGGAAGGGTGCTCACACTTCATGCGCCGATCACCGGGGGATAAATCTCATTTCTCGTAAATTATACCCATGGAAATGCAAGTACACAATTTTGCGAAGAGTACTCTTTTCGACAAATCTCCTCAGGCATTTACGTTTATGAAATGCAAAGGCAGAACACAAATAGCTGATAAAGCAAAGAGGTGGGAATAGTGGAATCACGACAAACAGAAACTCAAATGTCTTGATCAATAAAGTCCACTAACAATACGTGTGACAGAGCACGTGTTTGTTGATGGGCGGGATGCCAAGCGCATCATCCGACCACTGTAGGCGTACGGAGTGATAAAAGTCGGTTGCCTCCAAGCTAATGTCATTCATTCTACTTCATAGACTATCCTTGATTCCTGAATCGCAGTACCGAGAAGAACAGGCTTGCTTCCATCCTGGCCGTGGGTATGTGGATCAAATCTTCACGCTCCACCAAATTCTCCTACACTACCACCTCTACCGGAGACCTGCCATAATTACATTCCTCTACATCGGTGCTGCATTGCTTGCTAAAGAACGGTGTCCCAGAAACGTACACTGCCATCCTGCGCGCACTATCTCCGCGTCTCCGACAGTGAAAGCCTACAGTAAGCTTACTTCGTGCTTCGCTGTCAATAGTGGTGTATGACAGGGCTGTTCGATGTTCCCTTTCTTCTTCAATTTTGCGATTGAGCACGTACTGTCCATAGATCTGGAAGGTTGCCAACATCCTGGTCTGTAGCTACGACCGGGCAAGCAAGCTTAGTTTATGTCGATAACATCGCCTTACTTGATTACGACTCACAGAGCATGCAAATCATTCTAAAACCTTTGGCTATTGAGGCATTTAGATGCGGAATGTGCTTCGCGCCGTCGAAGTGTAAAGTACTGCGCCAGGATTGAAGCTCGTTCGTTCCCGTGCTAACTCTTGAAGATACACAGTTTGAACATGTGGATAGCTTTGTCTTCCTGGGCAGCTGCGTGTCTGCTGGTGGCTCTATCAAGAAGGAGCTTTCCCTCCCTCTTGAAGAATATTGGCTCTACTCTGCCACATCTGAACACAACATACCATCTGCTGAGTTGTTAACGTTCGTGGGACCCATCGCGCACTGACTTCTGGTAACATCAAATTATCCGTCAAAATAGACTGCACTCTTCCGTTTGAAATACACACAGACTCTGCTATTGTTTTACTTGTTTTTCTTCTGTTTTACTTGATGATGCTATTATTCTCTTCAATCTTTGCTCTGGTCACCGATTTTGACGACTTTTCACAACGGTCATTAACTTCACCTGTCTCCTAATCTCATTTAAATTCCCTTTATCACTTGGCAGCTGCTGAGCAGGCAAAATCATTATCCTCTATGTTACTGACACATTGTTGTGAATTAGGTGTGGAGCCATTCCCTTTTCAGCTTCAGCGCACGCTGTCCCGATCCCTTGGAAGGGGGTAGAGACTGCCCCGATAATTTGCCATCAGAGGCTTATAACTCTGAGCTATGGTGGTTGCCCGTACTCAGCGTAGCTAAGCAGCCAGCCAAATCTCCGCTGTCTTACGCGTTACTGTCGCGCTAAAAACAGAGTTGCCTTATCGAATTGCCTGCTCTGCAAATTTTGTCTATGGCCTTGTGATCGATTTAGACGGAGTACTGTAGAGTGGAACTTGACTGATCTAGATAAACAAGTATGCTTAAGGCACCTACATCTTACCAACAGTGCACAGTTACAAGCTACTATTTATTGTGCATCTGTGAGACAGCTTGTCGAAAGAACGTGTGCCGACTCAGAATCAATCGCGGCTCCCATACACTTGCCTCATAACCACATCCATACTTGTTTACTTGGTTATGAAGTCTATGGGCGGAGTTCTAGATGGTGCGACGCAAGCCTAGGAATAAGTCGTATTAGGGGAATTTATCATCGTTCTGTAGGTAGGTCTAAGCGATAAACCGGTAGTTTAGAGTGTCTTTTCACAGTACTCATGTGATTGGATTGTGACGTGCAATCTCAGTGAGCAGCGTGATTGGTGTCGAAGTGAACCTTGGTCAAATCGATCACTAGGACCGTTCTGCCAAGCGTTACCGGTCGTGACCCAGCTAAAAGGGTAGGAGTCCCAACCAACATCCCAATGGTCCCGAGTTCGATGCTTGCTTTGTCTATTTGATAAGAACAAATAGGATCGAAAAGCGCCGTGGAGCGCAGTGTTTTCGGGCAGGCGACACCCAACTTTCATCGGTACACTGGTACTTCGTACCGACGCTTCGCTGCTACGCGACCATCACCAGATGCACGTGGCCATGGGATACTG